CTAACGCGACAACCATTTCCATCTCACCACAATCCAAGCGCACCAGCTTACGCACCGCTCGAGAAAGTGTACAGCGACATCTTGTACAACCGCGAACCTGGACAGAACACTTACAACTACACGATTACCTTCATCGACGCCGCGACCAGATACGTCTGGCACCTCAACCTACCCAGCCGCGACATGGCCTTCGAAGCGTTCGTCGCGTGGCTTCCTATAGCAGAAAGAGAATCGGGCGTAAAACTGAAAAGTTTTCAGTCCGACGGGGGAGGAGAATACACCTCACAGAGGTTCAAGGACTACTTGGCAGAGAGAGGAATCAAGCGGCTCATCTCCCTTCCCTACGCCCATCAACAGCAAGGTGTAGCAGAACGGATGAACAGGACACTTCAAGCCACCATGCGCAAGCTGCTACGTGGCATGCATCTGCCCAACCACCAGTGGCCCGAAGCAATGGACCACGCCGTCATGCTGCACAACTTGCTCTCGTCATCATCGCTCCCGAACAACGCATCACCGCACCTGCTGTGGACAGGAAAATTGGGCAGCACGAAAATGTTACGAGGTTTCGGATGCATGGTACAGTACCGACCACCATCTGCACGCGCCGGTCGATTCTCCCAGCGAGCACAGTGGGGAGTACACCTGGGCATCGAAAAACACCACAACGCATGGAAAATCTTCGACATCAACAGTAAAGAAACAGTCGCAGCACGTGACGTCCTCTTCTACGAAAACCTCACCCTCGACGTTCACCTCGCCTACGTAAGAGCAAACAGACCTGATCCCTCGGGCGGATTCACTGGCACCCGAGCCTTCGCCTCGGCAGAAGACGAAGCTGACTGGGACGAGCAGAACGTGGACGGAGCCTCGGAAGAAGCCGGACCACTCCCGTACTGCTGGGTAGACGTATTAATGGACGACGACAACCCTCGCGAAAGCGTCAACGCCGAAGTCTTCTACAATCTCGCTGACGAAGGTTACGTTACACCCGAACAAGTCAACACCAACGAAGCAGAACGTGTAGGGCCCAATTTCGCACCTGATCCAGAAGCTGGAGACGAAGCAGTCTATCCCGAGGACACCACACTCCCCCGCTACACACAGAGTGGACTCCAAATCCTTGGCCTCGTCACCGCAGTACATGGCGCCGACATTCCTAAGGAGCCTGCGACGGTTCAACAGGCTCTGGGGGGGGAGCACAGGGAAAAATGGCGCGAAGCCATGGACAGAGAGCTGAAGGCGTTAGAAGAACGCAACACCTGGAAGGTCGTCCCTATCGGCGTAGCACGAAACAAGACCATACTCACCGGAAAATGGGTCTTCCGCGTGAAGACGAAAGCTGACGGCACCATCGACAAATTCAAAGCACGCTGGGTCGTGCGCGGCTTCGACCAGGAGCACGGACGTGACTTCACCGAAACCTTCGCTCCGGTCAGCCGCCACACTTCACTGCGAATTCTCCTCGCGATCGCCGCCATGAAGAAAAAGAAGCTGCGGCAAATCGACGTCGCAAACGCGTTTCTCTACGCACCTGTTGACGCAGAGATTTTTGTGGAGCTATCGCACGGCTCCAACACAGATTCCACGCATGTCTGCCAGCTGCTCAAGTCGCTTTACGGGATCAAACAGGCCCCGCGACTATGGCAGCAATACCTGCACGCTCGTCTCATCCGCATCGGCTTCAAGCAACTCCCGCACGACCAAGGCATGTACCGACTCACGAAGAACGACGACTACGTCCTGTTAATCGTCTACGTGGACGATCTCCTCTACATCGGGTCAACCGACGGCATCGCAACCTGGTTCGAAGGGGAGCTACAGAAAGACCTCACGCTCACGGTCTCGTCTACCGTCACACAGTACCTCGGCCTCAACATCCGAGAAGAAGAAGATGCGATCTATCTCAGCGCCGAGAAATACGCCGACACTATCGCCAAACGCTTCGCTCTCACACCAACCGCCATCTCCACGCCATACCGCTACACGACAGGAACCGAGAAGGGACGATCCACTCTACTCAAACCCGCCGGCATACGCGACTATCAGAGGAAGCTCGGATGCCTCCTCTTCGCAGCCGTCACTTGCCGTCCCGACCTCTCATACTCCGCAAGTCAGCTCGCTACCTACCTCAAGAAGCCCGAAACAGAACACCTGGCGGAGCTCGACCGCGCTCTTCACTACTTCATCAGCACCCCGACGATCGGCCTAACCTACCACAAGAACGCAACTACACCGACCAAACTAATCGGCTACGTCGACGCCGATCACGCCGGCGACTCCGACAACAGGCGCTCACGCACCGGCTACGTTTACCGCCTCGAACCTATCGGTCCTATCTCCTGGCAGTCGAGCAAGCAGGAGTTAATCGCGCTATCTTCAGCTGAAGCAGAATACATCGCACTCTGCTCAGCCACCAAAGAAGGCCTTTATCTTCGCGAACTGCTGGAAGAAGCAAAGTTAGCTGAGTTACCTAACTTCACCCTGTTCTGCGACAACCAGTCGGCAATTCGCATCGCCAACAAGAACGGCTTCGCGAACAGGACGAAACACATCGCCCTGCGCTACTTCTTCGTGAAGGACGAGATCGAGAAGGGGAGACTTCAGCTGTCATACTGTCCCACGTCCGAGATGGCAGCCGATTATTTGACCAAGAAACTCGGAAAGCAGAAATTCGAGTACTGCATGCTGCTGACTGGACAGAGCCACGTCACCAGCAGCGACACTCCAGAAGCGAAGGGGAGTGTTGGAAACAATGAATCATAAGCGCCTCTGTCGTGTCGAAACACCGAACCATACCGAAGCACCCGCGAGTCAACCCTCGGAGGTTGAGAGGTTGCTGGAGGTTACGCGAAAGTCAAAGGTCAAGCGACCTTTGACCTGACAAGTACAGCGCGACAGTTAAGGACACACAACTGACTCGTTACAGAGCAGTTGCCCGAGTCGTACTGTATCGAACCGCAACAGCAACAGTAAAAGTAGTTATAACTGTATCCTTTGATATTCCCTGCATTATTATATAATCTTGTACTTTCTTGTTATAATCAATCTACTTTGCCCTCACATACTAGCGCAAGGTGGTTCACAATTTCTTCACTGAAAGCTTCCGCTATTACAATTGTCCTACCCAGAGTTCTCCCCTGAAAAGATCCTAAGGGGCTATCTCAGCCCAACAACGGACAACCGCCAGCAGCCTGGGGAGATGCTCTATGTATGTTTGTCTGCTCTGCAGTGGGGTATACTATAGTGAATACAACCCAACTAGGGTTTGCTATATGTATCACATTGCTTGCTAGTGAAAAGCCCTCTTTTGCCTATTCTCTCTTGCCTAGCTAGCTAAACCCTTGTTATGGCTCCTGCGTTCTAACTCCTAGTTTCAACATGCTATCAGAGCGGTTACGCTCCTGGCCTGTGGGCCCGCCTGCTTCCGCTGCCATACTGTCTGCCCGCCACGCGCTCGGGGCGCGTGGCGGTTTCCTGCCCGCCGCGCGCCCTGAGCGCGCGCGGCGGTTTCGTCGCCCGTCGCGGCGCGCTGGGGGCCTGCGCGCTGTCCCCTCCCGTCGCCCGTCGCGGCGTCCCGGGGGCTCGCTCGCCGCCCCCTCCCGTCGCCCGTCGCGGCGCCCTGGGGGGCCGCGCGCCGCCCCCCCTCCCGTCGCCCGTCGCGGCGCCCTGGGGGCCCGCGCGCCGCCCCCTCCCGTCGCCCGTCGCGACGCCCTGGGGGCCCGTGCGTCGCCCCCTCCCGTCGCCCGTCGTGGCGCCCTAGGGGCCCGCGCGCCGCCCTGCCCGTCGCCCGTCGAAGCGCCCCAGGCATCCACGTGCCGCCCCGCTTCCGCTCGCACGCCGCCCCACCTGTTGCCCGCGTATCTGCCTCGCGCCGCGCGCGTGCCGCCTGCGTTTGGGGTATGGGGGTGGCGGGTATGGGGGTGACGGGTGTGTGAGCCGTCCCCTACTCCTCCTCCTCCTCCTCCTCCTCCTCCTCCTCCTCCTCCTCCTCCTCCTCCTCCTCCTCCTCCTCCTCCTCCTCCGTCTCCCACTGCTACAGCTGTTGCTGAGGGGAGTAGATGTGTGGGAGCCGAGGGAGTGGCGCTAGGGGGGTGCCGTGGGAGTGGAGCTAGGGGTGCAGTACGGGGTGTGTGAAAGGGGTGTGTGGGACAGTTGGGGGAGGTTGAGCGGAGGTAGCCGTCGTGACGTCAGCAGCGCCAGTAGTCCGGGGCCCTTGCCACTGGTAGCCCAGCGAGCCTGCTGCGCCAGTCGCCCGTGAGTCCGTTGCTCCTGCCGCTCGTCTTAGCCGCGGAGCCAGTTACTCCTGTAGTCCGGGGCCCTTGCCACCGGTAGCCACCGTGCGCGCCGCTCCTGTTGCCCGTGTGTCTGCGGCTTCACCCGTCGCCTCCTATCTCCACTCCTCTCACAGTCCCTCCTCCTCCTCACTTGCCCTCTGTGCGACTGCCTCTTGCTTTTCTTGTGCCTGTGAACTTCTTATGCGTCTGCTTGCTGTACTGATTATACCCCACTTTGACTATGGGGGTGTGTCAGAATATTATGTTTGTCTAGTCTGCAGTGGGGTACACTATTGTGAGTACAGCCCAAATAGGGTTTGCTATATGTATCATATTGCTTGCTAGTGAAAAGCCCTCTTTTGCCTATTCTCTCTTTCCTAGCTAGCTAAACCCTATTTATGGCTCCTGCGTTCTAACTCCTAGTTTCAACACTATGCGATGGCTATCTACGGTGGTCGGAACGGGTTTCCCAGAAGCCATGAGAATCTGAGGTCGGGGTGAATGGATGGTGTACCGGTCGTGTCGAAGAGGAGGAACCGGAGTTTCTGAGCTCGCTTGATGCTGGAGGATATGCGTTGGCGCTTTTTGGCAGATTGGCGTCTGCCTCTCCACATATAGATTTTGAAGGCGATGAGGAAATGGGCTAATACCAGCTGCAGTATCTCGAAGCTCGAGGAGGAGGGGTTGCGGTACTTGTGGTCGCAGCGACTGTTCCACAGTGTCTTAACTGCAGGTCCCACTAGTAGGCTCCATGGGGGGGATTGTCCCACCCGTGACTGTATCGGGAAGAAGATGTGTTCGGTGGGGGTAGATGTCCGGCAGTGTCTCAACGACGGCAGCTAGGCACCGGGGGAAAACCCCTCGATCGTCGAAGTATTGGAAGCGTGATCCAGAGGGAAGGGTGAGCGTGTAGAGTCTAAAAAGGATGTCACGTTGGCGGCTCGGCTGGTCTTTGAGAAATGAGTCCTTAAGGCCGGGGAGGGGAGGAGGAGGAAGGGTGAGGCCGCGGGTCCATTGGCTGTGATGAGTAAGCAGTTGTGCTGAGTAAAGGAGACGGCGGATGTCGGCGAGGCTGGGGGTGCCGTCCCGTAGAAGATCTATCCTAGCTCCTAACCCTGCCCCTGTGTGAAGTGGCTCTGCGAGCCACCAATCTCTGACGTGCACCTCTATGAGGTCCTGTAAGCGGAAAAGTCCGATATTTGCCGGGGTGCGGGTGATGCGATGGTTTGGCGATACGAGGTGGACAGCCGAGACGGAGGAGGGGGGGATGTAGGCGACAACATGGACGACAAGATGAGAGATGGAATAGTGGTCGTCCGAAAGCATGAACCAGTCTCCTGGGGAGGCAGAGGAGGCGTAAGGGGTTTGGAGGGCGGCCCACCAGGGACGTTTGATAGCCTTGATGGGATCTAGGAGGACGCGAGTTGCGTCGTCATGGAACTCCTCCGGGAGTTGGGAACAAAACTCTTGTGCAGAGATGGGGCCGACGCCAAAATTGGTGATTCGGACTATGTGACCGATGCGGAGCTGCCTTGTAAGCAGGAACCGCTCGTGTTGGCGGGTGCCAAAAGGCCGGTTATCAGGTTTGAGAAGGGAGCGGTTGAAGGCGAGAGGTTCGGTGAGAATGCATTGCATGTGTAAGGGTGGGACAAGGATGACCAGGGGGAGAGAGGGGAGGGCATTTAGTTCGTCTAGCGCCCGAGGGGGAATGAAAGTGGGAAGATAGTCCCATTTGAGGATGGCTTCATGGGAGAGGAAACCGTGTAGCCCGAAGGGGAAAGGGGTCAGGGTACGTGCTACTTCCTCAGAGGGGGTAGGTCCGAATCTGCGCAGAGCGCACTGAATAGCAAGAGCTTTGACTTGTGTGGATGGGGCAATCGCCCCGACCCCGCTGTCTTGGGGGGAGTTATACAGGAGGGCTTTAGAAATGAGTCGTTGTGCAAGGCCGTCTTGTTTGTGTTTTGAGGATGAAAGGAAGTTCCCGACTGACACGTCTAGGCATTTGATTGTGTCTGGTGGGGCGGGTTGAAAGCGACCGGAAAAGGAGATGACAGAGATTAGGAAGATCGAGGAAAGTGATTTGCGGCACATGACAGTTGCGTGTAAAGCGGCCAGAATCTTGGCGGTGCTCTGTATGCGGGCAAGTGCCTTATTCCACGTGGTGGAGCCTGGGTGTAGGCATTCGACGTAGATTCCAATGATGCGTTCTGCCTCATTGGGAGCTCGGATAGGTATGCTCCCGGCGTGTAAGAGATCAGAAGGGGGGATATTGAATGGGATTATGAAGCAATTGCTCCAGTTAGGAACCTCTCCGGAGACCGATCCAAAGACGCCGAGCAGCACTACAGCAAGCCCGAGCTCTGTATCAGAGGTGAGGAAGAGAGTGACGTCGTCTGCGTAGCACGCCGTAAGCCGGCGTTGTGCGGGGGACAAGGCAAAGCCGGGGAGGAAGAGGGACATGTACCGGTGAAAGATCTCCATGATGCAGACGAAGAGTAAGGGAGCCAGTGGGCAGCCCTGACGGACACCAGTGCGGACGGGGAAGATGGGGCCAAGCATATTGTTGACCAAGATACGTGTGTACGTGCCGGAGTGCATTAGGCGAACCCAGTGGATGAATGGTGCGGGGAGGCCCAGGACGGATAGGGCTTGGAGCAGGAAGGGTCTATCAACAAGGTCGTAGGCTTTGCGAAAGTCCACAGTAAGCGCAAGAAGGGGGGACGAGGAATAGGCCGCCCAGTCCATGAGTCACCGATTTTTCTGTGTTTGATGAAAGCAGTTTGGGATGGGTGGATGAGCTGGGGAAGGACTAGCTGAAGGCGATTAGCAAGGCATAGCGCGAGTACCTTGTAATCAGCATTCATTGAGATGATGGAGCGGAGATTTTCCACAAACGATGAGTCCCCCCTTTCTGGGATAAGGACCGTTCGTCCGGACAGCACAGACTGAGGGAGGCAAGAGAGTGGCTGTGCTGGTGAGAGTAAAGAGTGGAAGGCCGGGGCGAAACGCGGGGAGAATTGTCGAAAAAGCTCCTCGGGGAGGCCGTCTGGGCCAAGGGTTTTTCCACGTGAAAGAGAGAGGAGTGCTGTTCCGATTTCGGCCAGGGAAAGGGGGGCACTGAGACGGAGGAGTAAGGGGTTCGGGATGGAGGATGAGGGAAAATGTTGCCAGAAGAATGGGTTAGGGGTGACGGGGTTGCTCCCTTTGTACAAATTCTGGAAGAAGTATGGGAGATCTGAGGTCGTCTGTCCGTTTGGAAGAGTCAGGGAGTTGATGGTTGAGCCTTTAATCCGCGAGTTGAGTCCGGAGAGGAGGGAGGAGATTCCCATTTCTCTGTGTCCTTCCACTTTGAGCTTGGCCTTGAGCGCAATCTCAGACGCTTTCGAGGCTTCGTATCTGGCCAGGTAGAGCCGTGCTTGGTTTAGGCATGAGGTTTCGTTCTGGTTCAAGGGCGTATACGCTGCTTGCAGCTGTAGTGAGCCAATGGTGCGCTTCAGATGCGCGATAGTACCATCGACACGACGTCTTTCCAGGTTGGAGAATCTTTTCAAGCTAAGGGTGAGGTCGAGCTTCCATCTGTCCCAGGATTCTGGAGAAGGGGAGGAGGGGAAGGCTGCGAGGGCGGCATCAATGATTTGTGCTGCGTGGGGGCGCATGAGTAGCTGTTGGCGGAGTCGCCAAGGGCGGGGAGCGACTGTGGGGTTGGTGAAGCAGAGCGAGCAGAGAGGGGCATAGAGGTGATCCGTGATTTCTGGTCGGGTTTGGAGGTACGGGCTGGCAACGAGGCGGGGAAGGAAGGCTCGGGAGATGTAGAAGCTGTCAAGACGGGAAGATGTTGGTGGGGTTGCTGTATTATGGCGTTAACTGCCAAAGAAAGAGAAGACGTTAGTAGGTGTGGGGTAGAGTTCGCGGAAAGTGTCGACTAGTGAGTGGGAGTCCATGAGTTTAGCAAAGGACGCTCCTTCTCGGCATTCGTGGTCCTAAAGGGGGCCGTTTCTGTCGATGGGGAGGACGACCGAATTGAAGTCTCCGGTGAGCAAGGTCGCAGAGGCAGCGGTGGGGGTTTCTAGTGCGGGGATGAGCGTGGTGGTCCACCACATTGGACGCTCGTAAAATTGTGTGGGCGCATACAAGGCGGTTAAGCGAATTTGCTTGGGAGAAAGTTGAGATGTACCGTTATGAGCATGCCGTCTGCAGAGGGCAGCGGGGAGGACAATGAGATGGATCTGGTGAAGGAAAGGATGGAGACGCCACCGATGAGAGTGGCCCTTCCGGTAGCACTGTCAGTCGAGAGCAGTGCCGGGGCGTGAGCAGAGGCGTGGGGCCGAAATTTCAAGTCGAGGTTGGGAAGTCTAAGGATGAGTTGGGTGTCAATGAGGATGACCAGGTCAGTGGGTGCAGGGAGGCGTGAGAGCCAGGACTTAAGCTCATCCATTTTGCGGGTTTCGTTGATTCCGTTCACATTGACGCAGAGGATGCGGAGGTGGTGTATTAACATGGCAGCGACGTGTAGGCCACCGCACGGGAGAACGTGCGTATCCACGGCCTGGAAAGGAGGTTGTGGCGGGCAGTATTTGAGGAAGAGGCGGAGCCCATGAATTGCTAGTCATGATGAGGTTCATGGTATCGTGGAGACGTTCGGTTGAATGTCATCGGGTTGAAGATGCGTGGCACCATGAATTCTGAGAGCTGCAAGGACGGCAACTGAATGGAGTTTGGGTAGCGTATAGTGTATGTGCGAGCTAGCTCTGTGTGAGCATTACAATAGCTGCTCCCTAGGGCTAACGGGTGGATCAAGGTAGCGTGCAATAAGGCCCTCATAAAGGTACTACCCCTTCTTCGGCTCTTGACGTAAATGAGGAGCTTTGTGTAACCACTACTAGGTAGTGTTGACTGTTTGTGATGGAAGAAGTGTGAAATAAAATTCGGTAGCAATGCTTCCGGTTACAAGTTGTACAATGTTTGGGGCTGCGAGGACGTATCTAGTTAGAGCACCTTCGCAAGTGAAACCTGTCCGACATGGTAGCGTGTAGCAAACTGCTGTGCAATGTCGTGGGGTACGCAGCCAAAGGGCAGCAGAAGTAGGTGATATTGCAGGCGCGAGGGGGGTAGTTCTCCAACGGCGGGAAAACATCTTGGAAACCGATATGGCAAGGCAAACTGCCTGAAGCAAAGAGTGAGAGGCGGGGTTGTTCAATCCATTTTTCCGGGTGCGATGCAAAGTTTTGTGAGCTGTTTTGCAGATTTAGCAAACAGGATTCAATATCATGTCTCAGCCCGGTGTTCGTGTCTCTAAGGAGGAGGCGTCTTATGGATATGTTGGGTATACTACTTAAAAGGTAAGGAGGTAGCATTGTGGCAGTTACGGGCCAAAGACATGCGAGGTCGGGTATTATTAGTGCAAGACGTGTAGACAGACTCAAACCGAACACAAAGGACCAGCAAGCAGGCAGTAGGCTTGGGGGGCTTAGGCATGCGACATCATCTTCAGCTCCTTGAGGAAGGCTGCGATTTTTCCCTCGAACTTCAGAAAGGCCTGAGCGCTCCAGGTGAAATACGTCTCCTTGGCTGCAGTCTTGTGCGCGGTGGCGAGCACACGGGAGCGGTGTTGTGCGGATGCCATGTGCTCTAGCGCGCTGTCTTGCGCCGGGCCGCATACAAATTCGTAATGAACGCAGGTCCAGGGTTCTGTCAGAGGTCCACTGGAGATCCCCGATTGATCCTAGGGAAGGGTTACAGGCACGTTGGTCTGGGGGGTTATGGGCGCACTCACCCGCTACACAAACAAGCCCTTTTATCCCAGTGGTTAGTGACTGGGATTCTGACATGGTATCAGAGCAAAGGTCTCGGGTTCGAATCCCGGTGTGTGCACTTCGGGCATCCCAGTGCGGGGGGGTGTCAGAGGTCCACTGGTGATCCCTGATTGATCCTAGGGAAGGGTTACAGGCACGTTGGTCTGGGGGGTTATGGGCGCACTCACCCGCTACACAAACAAGCCATTTTATCCCAGTGGTTAGTGACTGGGATTCTGACAGGTTCGACATCCAACTCCGTGCCGATGAAGAGGAGGCCGGGATCGGAACGGAAGGAGGTAGGGGCAGCCAGGGCTCCAAGGGCGCCACCTGGGGGGGAGTTTAAGAGGGCGGGTGCAGGCAGGGGAGGGTGGACAAAGAGACACCGAGGGTAATGATAGGAAGGGGGGGGGCAGGTGCGGTGGAATGACAGATTTAGCGGGTTTTGTACGTGTTACAAAGGGGAAGCGGAGAAAGCACAACCACACTGGGAAACGCAACAAGGGGAGATCCAGGGGGGGGAGGGTAAGCCGAGGGGTTGTACCGTTGGCTTTCTGCAATTGTGCGACCGTAAGCTGCGCCTTGTTGTTGAGGCGGCCCTTGCGCTTGCAGGGAAAGGTCGCGTGATTTTCAGCGCGATGGTTGAGTCGGGACAGACTTACTGTGAGTCGGGATGGGTTGAGCGAGCGAAACCTGCATAAGCTGCATGTGGTTGGACGCGTCCGCGACTTAGGGAGAGATAAGCTGTTTCCTGGGCAGCCCCGGCCATTACGGCCTGTGTGATGTGCTTGCGACATAGTCGGGGTTGGCGCGAGAAAGGAGGAAAGGGAAATGGCTGGGCGACAGATTGAGGGGTACAGTTGGTCGATATTTACTGGCTCACATCATTTTATCCAAGCTTGGACATTTTTGCGCTGGGCAGAGATGCAAAATCTTGGTGCGTGAAACGAGCTCAACAAGGCGGGTCACAATAACGAAGCATGCAAGTTATGCGCTACGAGTTGGTTAGGAACAACACACACAACTGCACACCAGAGGCCCATGTACAAGTACGCATAGCAAACAAAGCACATACAAGCAACAGGCCTTACTGCAGGTGCACCATGGCAGGTGCAACCATGACTGCTAGTCGCATGGATCACGTTCTACTATTCTATATTTATGGACGTGGTTGCAAGGGCGTGGGGCGGTTTGGTGGAAGCCGATGTCTTCACCGATAACATCTCCACGCCGTCTAGCTCACACAGCTCCGTCATCTGTGTTGAGCGACGAGAAGGGCAAGCCTGCGCCGTCATCTGTGTTGGAGGTTGAGTGTGGGGGGAGGTTTGCCCCCAACCACCGAACTTGTTACTTCCTGTGCTCACCTTCGAGTGAGCCTCAGGTTTGCGTAGGGTTGAAGGATTGACTTCGGAAGACCCTTCAATTCGGTGCCACATGGCAGCACCAGGAACATTCGAGACCCAAGGAGAATTCGGATCGGTGAAATTCGAGTGTCGAATTTCACCCTTTGAAATGTTACTCGAACATTCGCGAGTGTACCGCGGTTCGAGGTTACATGTGCGACTCGATGTTTGCAGTTCATATAAAATTGTGTTGCTCTGTATTGCATGCATCATACTGAAAACTTGAATCATCTTCTATGTGGTGAATTCTAAGTACAAAACCAGAGAGTTTCCATGCATTCAACCTAGAGCATAGCCTTCACGTTGAAAGCCATATCTCACTTGTTTTTTAGGCGAACGAAGTGATTGACGGCTCGTTAAAAAGCTAAGACAGAGCTCTAGTGGTCTATATATCTCCAAGTTCCTGCAAAGTAGAGGAGAGTCCATTACATCAATCTGTACGAGCTCTTGCGAATACATTGAAACATTCTAAAATACATCGTCAACGGTATGCAATACTACCTGCAGCCGTATGTGGAGAGTTACTACTTCCCCACGAGGTCGCGAGTTT